GTGACGAAATTTCCCCAGTTGTGTGGTGATTTTACCCCCCTGTGTGGTGAGATTGCCCCAGTATATTGGTTTTACATTTTATTTTTTTATAAATCACCAAGCTAATTAAAAAAATAGGGGAATGTCACATTTTAAAGCTTGGTGCTAACCGCATTCAACAATAAAAATAGAAATATGATAACGTGTCTCAAGATGGACAAAAAATAGCTTTGAAAAAATGCTGACGAAATTCCCCCACTCTCCCCTACGTATGAGATTTTCATTTTTCTATTTTTAAGAAAAATTCTTTCTTGAATTTTTTCCATCAAGAAAGGTTTTCTGTATTCAAAAGCAAATTTTCTAATAACAAGAAATTTTTTTCTATTTTCAAAGGTAGGCCGATTCAATGGAGAGATTTCCAAAATTTAGAAATTAATTTTTATGAGTGTAGTTTAATTCCAGTTGTCTTTTAACTGGACTTTAACATGTATTTGTTCTACCAATTAAATATTTGTAAGGTTTTTTTGTCAGAAAGGTACCAGTCCGAGTAAAGTTGCCTTTTCACTACACCCAAAAAAAAATGATCATAGAAACTAAACTATTTCTACATTAAAAGTAAACTATTGAGTGTCAAAAATTTCTCGATACTCTGAGTATTAAGCTAATGGACTTCGAAAGTATAAAAATGAAACTTTCGAAGTTGTCAAGTTTAAACTAACGAGTATACAGTTTATACTCACTCAGTGTACTGAAATTAAGGCTGCTAGTTTATTTTGTATACTATTTAGTATAATGCCAGTATAAATATTATACCCCGTATAAAAGAGACAAAATATAAAAAATGTTGTTTTGTACTTTTCATATATTATTAAAAATATTTTTTACATTTTATAAATTACTGAAGGTAATTTTTAATTTAACAAACAAACATTAATACAATACATGTACAAAATATGTACAGTGGCTCCATCGCATAATCGGACACCTACTTTCATAAAATAAACATGCAAAGAAAATGAATAAAATGGGTTAAATTCGTCGTTTTTTTGCTTTTACTTATACATAATGCTAATAACCTCCAAAAAACATAAACAAAAATTACATATTTTCAACGAAAACACTTAGTTTTCCAACAAAAACAACAAAAAATCCGATTTTTAAGGTTCAACGAATAATCGGACACTCGCTGAATACGGTTATTTTTTATGGAACTTGCTGCAAACTTGGGGTTTTTGGAAAAAAAAAAGTTGAAATGACCCCAAGGAAAGCCATTTTCTGTGAAACATCGTCAGTTGATTGGAAAACTCAATTTCGAACTGAAAACTGTACGGAAATTCAATGCATTGGTCGGAGAAGTCAAGTCCATTGTCCAGGACATTATTATATAGTTCCGGGATACATTTTAATTTGACAATAGAGGCGGGGAAGGCCAAATCAAGATGTTAATGACGGCGTAATTCCAAAGTACCTTAAGATTTTAAAGGATAAAAAATATTTAAAAAATTTTTGTTTAATGTTTCTTTTGTTGGTCTGAAAGTGTATTAAACAACCAACAAAATGAGGTATCGTTTATAAAAATCGGTTCACAACTTACCTAAAAAATGGACCAAACTATAACCAAACCAATAACTGCTTGGTCAAAAAGCACGATTTCCATACAAATTTCAATAAAAACGAAGCTTTCAGCTTAACAAGAATGTTCTCGAACCCATCTTTTAGGTAAGTTGTGAACCGATTTTTATAAACGATACCTCATTTTGTTGGTTGTTTAATACACTTTCAGACCAACGAAAGAAACATTAAACAATAATTTTTTAAATATTTTTTATCCTTTAAAATCTTAAGGTACTTTGGAATTACGCCGTCATTAACATCTTGATTTGGCCTTCCCCGCCTCTATTGTCAAATTAAAATGTATCCCGGAACTATATAATAATGTCCTGGACAATGGACTTGACTTCTCCGACCAATGCAGTGAATTTCCGTACAGTTTTCAGTTCGAAATTGAGTTTTCCAATCAACTGACGAAGTTTCACAGAAAATGGCTTTCCTTGGAGTCATTTCAACTTTTTTTTGCAGTGTAGTGATGGTTTCTTCTCTTAATTTCTACTACAAAGTAATCTCAATGCCAAAAACCCCAAGTTTGCAGCAAGTTCCATAAAAAATAACCATATTTAGCGAGTGTCCGATTATTCGTTGAACCTTAAAAATCGGATTTTTTGTTGTTTTTGTTGGAAAATTAAGTGTTTTCGTGGAAAATATGTAATTATACCCGTTACTCGTAGAGTAAAAGGGTATATTAGATTCGTGCAAAAGTATGTAACAGGTAGAAGGAAGCGTTTCCGACCCTATAAACTATATATATTCTTGATCAGGATCACCAGCCGAGTCGATCTAGCCATGTCCGTCTGTCCGTCTGTCCGTCTGTCTGTCCGTCTGTCTGTCTGTATGAACGCTGAGATCTCAGAAACTACAAAAGCTAAGCTTTCCCACACATATTCTTTGGCTTCATACGCAGCGCAAGTTTATTTTAGCCGAGCGCCACGCCCCCTCTAACGCCCACAATCGCCCACTAACGATTTTAAAATGGGTCCTGCGCCCACATCTTTAAAGATTTCCGAGAAGTTTAAATGCAATTTTGTTGTGTATATTTATACCTATCGAAATGTAGAAGACATTTTTCAAATCGGACCATTCATTAAAAAGTTATACGCAATCAAAATTTATATATCTATCTCCCTCGCACTCCCTTTAGCTGAGTTACGATTATTAGTCGGGATACCAACCCGAGTACAGCGTTCGCACTTCCTTTAGCTGAGTGACGGGTATTAGATAGTCGGGACACCAACCCGACTATAGCGTTCTCTCTTGTTTTTGTTTATATTTTTGGAAGATATTAGCATTATATATAAGTAAAAGCAAAAAAAACGACGAATTTAACCCATTTTATTCATTTTTTTGGCATGCTTATTTTATGAAAGTAGGTGTCCGATTATGCGATGGAGCCACTGTACGTATGTAAGCATATTTGCGCAAATGCAGCCGTTTTACCGCTTATGTCGCTGATCATCTCCAGAGTGGTCGCCGTCCAGATGAATACCGAAGCTTGGTCGAGGACGCTGATATTGAAGTTAACATTACGCTGGCCGCGGTCAGAAAAAATGCAAGCCAATTGCAAGATCCTTAGTTCCCGGCATCTGGAGCGCAGTTCAAGGTGGTGTCAGTAAAAGGAAAAGAATTTACTCATTAGTTATGCACCAAGACACAATTTTAATGTACTTACATTTCAAATAAGCCCAAAATAAGCAAATATTAAAATTTTCACAAGTAATTTTCACAAACAAACCTTAAACAGACCGCAGCGTCGTTTACAAAATACACTAATGTCAAACAATTAAAATACTAACGCGTCGAATAACAATAAAAAGTGGTAACACTTTTTCTGTTCGAAATGTCCAGGTTCCAAACCAGAGCATCCTGGCCTCACACCAGGAACGAAAATCGAAACTTCGGTATAGAAATTAAACTCAGGGCATAAACTTAACACTATTTAGTCTTAACTTAACTCTATTAAGTCTGCTCCCTACATTATTTAGTTTTGAATTAATACTGACAGTCTAACACTAGCTGTAGTATACTTTTAATACAACGCTCATTAACTGTAAACTTTCGGCTTTTTTTTTGGGTGTAGTTTTGTATTATTCATTTTTTCGAAAAGCATACATTTTTTAGACCCTTTGTAGTCCAAATGCATTCAGACAAATTCTGGTTGCTTTATATTAGTTGTATAACTAGTTGTTTTTCAGACTAGTTCGCATTTTTCCTGCAGGGTAGCTTACTTTCTGGTTTTCTTATTGGCTACAATTCTATTTCGAACAAGAAATGAAGCTACCTTCGGCCAGCCGAAGCTTATATACCCTTGCAGATAAAGTAATGCTCACTCGTTGCAGTTCCAGGGATTCCAGATTCAGCGTTTCTATTTAAATTTTTTTTTTAAGTAGTCAAGAATCAAAACGCCTACTTCCTACTTCCTAAGTTACAATGAATTTTCTTATATTTGTTTGAATATTCCTATGGAAGCCTTAAGAAATAGTGGTCCGATCCGGCTCGCTCCGACATATCTCGATAGCTTTAAAACTGAGAGACTAGTTTGCATAGAAACGGACAGACAGACAGACGGACAGACGGACATGGCTTGATAGACTCGGCTATTGGTGCTGATCAAGAATATATATACTTTATGTGGTGGGAAACGACTCCTTCACTGCGTTGCAAACATCTGACTGAAATTATAATACCCTCTACAAGGGTATAAAAATCAACTCTAAAAATCTTTAGTGGGAGATCACTTTTTCTTTTTGATTTGTATAGAGAATTCAATTGTTTTTAAAGTTGCATTGCAACATTTTGGATAATCTTAAAAAAAAAACATTTTGGCAGGCATTTTGTTCTAGACGCCCCACAGTGGAACGTGCTGAAATTAGGTTAAATTTTCTTGGCAAAAAACGAGGGTTATTTATGAGGTAGGAAAGGACGGGGGAAGACGAAAAGAGAAATCAAAGCATATTGCATGCAAATTGGGTTTGCAGTGGGCCGGAACCAACGCCATCTACAGGCTGCCAAAGTCAAATCATCCCGATCTGAGTGACTTCTCTCTGAAGGTTCTCCAGTCTAGATAACTTCAACTTTATTTCATTCGCTTGATTTGTATTTCCTCACTCAATTAACAAAGTTTCCCATAACTTCCGCCCTGTTGGCTGCCAGCAAACATTTACCCCTAGCAAACAGCCGGCCAGGCCAATTCATCTTCATAAACTGCCACCTTCAGCCTCCGGCTCATGTGGAATTTTTCACACAGAAGAAGGAGGGAAACTTGAGCTCAGGCACATACAAATCATCGATAAAACACGATGTCTAAATGCATGTTGGCAGGGATTTTCAGGGCTGTGGCAACAAACAAGGCAAACAAGGATGCTTGGCCTGCTCCTGATGGGTTTGTTTTTCGGCTTGTGTGTACTCACCCACATCACGTAGAAAATCGACGCTGACATTAGATAAATGCAGTTGGAAAAAGTCGAGGAAATTCTGGAACCCCTGTTGCACATGCGTCATGTCAACGTGCAGCGAAGAAGGTATTAAAACGGCCAGTCGTTGATTTTGATGTTGATGCTGTCGTCTTTGTCGTTGTTGTCCCTGTTGCTCCTGCTGCCGTCCCTGATGTTGCTGCTGTCGCTGCTGTCCCTGCTGTTGCTGCTGTCGCTGCTGCTGGGCTGCGGGCTGTTGCTTCTGACGTTTCTGACGTTCAGCCCCACGCGCATTACGTGGACTCTTTGTTTGTGTTGCTGTTGGCCAAATTGAATTGCTGCTAAGTGTTGTTGCTGCTGCTGTCGTCAGGGAGGTCCGCGTAGCCGCAGCCGATTGTGTAGCTGGCGTTGTAGCAAAATCCGCAGCTGTCTTGGCGGCTTGCAGGACAAGGACGGTTTCTGGGCGGAAGTGGGAGGAGAAGGAGGTGGGATTCGGGCCGAGGGCTAAAGAGACTGCGCTGGGGGAATTGAGAAAGAAGAAGGCTGTCAACAGCAGAAATAATTTAGCAATTTGACAGATTGTTAACTTCATTTATGATGCGTATTTTTGTTTGGTTTCTTGATGTGGTGGCTGTAGTGTGCGCTTGTGGTCGATTGTTGCGATTCAGTTGTAGCTATTGCTGTTGCCCGTGACCGTTGCCCACTGCGCAGCTGAGTGGGCCCTTTTCAGTTATGCGCCCTGTCCCGATTACATTTTGTGGGCCCTCCTTTCGCCGTTGCTGCAGATGCACTTGTTGTTATTTCCTCTATTATTGCTGGTAATGAACTTTGACGAAGCTTTGTTCGAATTTGCCATAATTGCGATTCTATTGCTGGCAAATTGCAGTTGTTGCCTGCGAGAAAGGGAGACGGAAATAATTTAATTTCTCATTACAAGTTTTCAGAGAAAATATTTAAGTTCTTGGTGCAAGGGGAGTATAAATCTATGGTTCTTAAGTCTTATTTCGGCCTCAAACCGACACCTTTCTAGCTTCACATATGAAAGGGCATTTTATTACCAGCAAAATTAGTATTTGTTGACCAAAATCGGTTCATACCATACTAAATATTTTATATATAAAATATATATAAAATAAATAGTTTCTTATTCAGGTTGCTTAACCAAGGTCGCGTTCTTATAGCGTTTTAACAATTTAATGTTATAACTGACTTAAACGAAATTAAACCTCAATTAAACTCTTAAAAAATCTTTAGATTAAGACCGATTATAGCATTGAAGGGTTATGTAGGCATTGAAATGGGCGTGACACTCAGCTGAATCAAACAAGGTCTTTACATTTTTAAAACGAAAGTATCAACAAAAATGACATTAATTAAATATGACTGTATCAGCTACAAATATATTTATACCCTTGTAGAGGGTATTATAATTTCAGTCAGATGTTTGCAACGCAGTGAAGGAGACGTTTCCGACCACAATACTTTATGTGGTATATTCTTATGTTATATATTCTTGATCAGCAACAATAGCCGAGTCTATCAAGCCATGTCCGTCTGTCCGTCTCTCCGTCTCTCTCTCCCGAAAGTCTTGTTTCTATTGCAGGTAGTGCATATGTCGGAGCGAGCCGGATCGGACCACACCCAGAAAAAAAATGACCTAAAATGTCAAAAAATGGCCTAGAATTTAGGTAAAATTGGCCTAAAACTGGAGCTAAGTCCTTGAATGGCCTAAAATGTAGGATTGTCTGACCTAAAATATTAGGCCATTAATGGCCTAAAATGGGGTAATTTTTGGCCTAGATTTTAGGTAATTGGCTGCCTTAAAATATGAGAAAACCCCTGTCCAAAATTTTAGGCTTTCTTTGGCCTAAAAATATGTACTGAAACATGTTTAATATTATAAAGTAAATACAGAGAAATTTATAGCTAACTCGAGGTCAATGTCGGCTTAGCCTTCAAGAAGTCGTCATTATGCCAACACACAAAAACGAGCGAAGAGGCTTCACTGTTCAGCAGTGAAATCGCTGTTTTATTCAACGATCGAAGTGGGTTACCATGCATGCCGCGCTATAACTGGTTGGGAATTATAGCATCGCTAGAACGTTATCAGAGTTCCATGCAAATTTATTTAGGTAAAATGCATTAATTTTAAGGCTCACGATGACCTAAAATATTAGGCTATACGGGACCTAAATAGTAGAGCAAATATACTAAAATTTCAATTTCAAGTATCACATTGCATACTCTTTGTATACCAAAATTCCTTTTGGAACTTATACCAGGATGACGGCACCCACCTTACTTGTGCAGTTGATATCCATTACTTTAAATGCCTTTTTCTCGAAACCACGTTTTCCTCAGCTGCGGATCGTGTATCTCAAAAAGTTAAAATTATATAAGAACAAAGTAATCAATATGCCAAGTTACGAAAACCAAGCACAATTCCTTATTGGTTCAAAAAAATCACGAAAAATTTGAAAAAATTACAGTTTTATATGTATCTCTCCCCTTAAGGGGTTATATACCTTTTTTTTTTTTTTTCAAAAAAAACGATTTTTTTTTGCTGAATCCTAAAGTATATCCCCTAGAGAACATCTTCCCAAATTTTCATACAGATCCGAATAATAGTTCGATAGGAAAACAGCGTTTTGCCGCGCTCGACTTCAATAGTTCAACGTCAACGTAAAACTTTGAATGCGATTATCTCAAAGTCGTGTTTTTCCAAAAGTGCCTTCGCTGTGACCACGATTGCGCAAGAACTATTTGATCGATCTTCTTAAATTTTTTTTTTAAATATTCGTAATGAATGTGCCGAGTTCGTGAACGATTCAGTTTTTATGCGCCAATTTTAATTTCGCAGATCAGATTTTTTTAATAAAATTTTTAGAACTCGAAAAATCAACTTTTTTTGAAAAAAAAGGCTTGTTGTTTCGATAAAAGCATGTACTATCAATAAATAATAACTTCACTGTCATAAAATAATTGCTACACACCAAAAAAAAATCCAAAGTTCCCTCAATTTTTTCGCTCAAAAAAGCTATATAACCCCTTAAAAATAAGCCGACATTGATAAAAATAAATAAATACACTGTGCAGCTTTTTAAATTTACCTCGATGGATGCTATATTTTTGGATTTGTTACGAATTCCCAAGTTAAACTGCGCTTTCCAAAAAGTTCCCCGACGCAAGGATTCTTAGCAAAGTTCGAAAAATGCTGAAATTGGCCAACTTTGCGGAGCTCTCAGAGGCAAATGGATGCATGGTTTGATTCGATGTTAAAGTTTTAAAAGATACACTCTTTATCATTCAAACCCCATACTTAAAATAATTTTAGGATTTTTATTAAGGGAGAAACAAATTTTAGAAAACATTGTCAAAAAACGTAAAAGCATACAGCTGCGGTCAAAATAGTAGTAGTCTTGCCGTCCTGTGTTTTTAAAAGTTTGTTGTCCTTTTGCTAAGAATCCTTGCGTCGCGGAACTTTTTGGAAAACGCAGTTTAACTTGGGAACTTTTAACGAATCCAAAAATATAGCATCCATCGAGGTACATTTTTTATGCTGCATAGTGATATTGATCACGATTCAAACAATTTGTCATCTTTGCTCATTTAAATACATTCGCTCACTGATCGAAAAGTATTCATCATAGTAAAAATAAATGATGGAAAATGCCATACGAGTGATTAAGTGATCATTGACAATATTGTCAAAGACAAAAAGCACCGAAAACTCAACTGTTCGATCTATGTATAATGGGCAGAAGCAGAAGATGTAACCTGCGTTTACGAAGATATGAATTGTATATTAAAGAAAAAGTACTTTAATTAAACTTGGTGTTAGTAGCCTTATTTTGATTTTTATTTTCCTAATTTTATCCTGACAAAATGTCTAAATTGAGGAAAATGTTTTGAGTTCAAAAAGCAGTATAATGCAGTTGTGATGCTTATCAGAAAAATATTCACCAGCTCTGCTTGGTTACTCCTAATTTTATTGTGACAAATATCACCACCCTATGTTAAAATAATTTTATTTGCGCAAAATGGCAGATTGTGAGAGATATTTTACGAACCCTGGTTAGAACGCAATAATAATGGCATCGTGTTTGCTTGAAAGGGGTTTAATTGACAGCAAAGTACTTCCACCGCCTCGTCTTGCAGATCGATTTGTCAGATGATAGCCCCTCGTCTGTATAAATTCCAATCCAGACACCTGCCATCATGATTTATTTAAAGCCTTCGCAGCATTCGGTTAAACAATTTCCTGGCCCACAGGCGATGGAACTTTACGACCCCCTGACATGTTCATTAAAAAATACGCAGGCAAATTAATTGAATTAAAATTTCAAATTAGTTTTAAAGTTCAGATGGCAAACACAGCCGCACAAGCAATCAACAGACGAACACACAGACAGGGCGGTCCACATTTGTATGGAAATTTTTAAGGTCCTACTCCAACCCGCTTATACGGTGCGCATTGTGGTATTCAAGGTACACCAAAAGACAATTTAAAAAAAAATCGTGTTTTAGGGTCTGCGAATTGGTTTCAAAGTTTATCACCCATACGCACTGTTGCCTTCGATCAAAAAGTTTTTCTGATCAAGGTGGCATATATATCAACAATTCAGTTGATGTTTTGTTCTCCTTTTTTTTTTAGCAATTATTCCAACGAAATTCATAATTTGACAAGACAAGAAATTGGAGAGCGATTTTTTTCGACCAAATTCGAACTGTTATACATATCGTATGAGTAATTTTAAAGCAAACTTTGAAGACGTTTCGCAAGGTCTAAATCTCGAAAAAAAAATTGTTTTGTTTTCACGTACATTTTTTGCATACTTTAATATACCATGTTAAGGGGTGCGAAAAGAATTTAATTTTTTGGTCCGCCCTAATGTACATACATATGTACAGTCTGTCACGCAAGCGCTTCCGCTGATGTTTCTTCTGTTTGCTAGTGCTAGCGTATCTTGGCGTTTTCCTGCACGTTTAAGCATTCACCTACCCAGCAAGAACCTGCACTCAGAAAATTCCTTGGTAAAATTATTCCTTATTAGATTTCTAATAATTTGCAGTATCCATCAATCCTTTAACAAACCTATATTTTTGTCCCAGATATATTTTCCAATTACTTGGGACGAGTACATTTTTTGTAAAGAAATATTGTCTATGGAGAAATTTTATTTTTTAAGCTAGTTGCTGTCTTTTATTGCTTTTTTTCAGTTGATTTACTCTCTTGGAAATTTGAGGGTATGTAGACGGAAAGTGGAAATGACAACCTGTGCATAATTTAGGGCGGTATTTTTTGTAGCTACGCCTTCTGCTATAAAAATCGAATGGCTATAAAATTGACTTGACTAAATAAATATTTTGTAGCCTGATATATCGGATTCCTCGATGGGCCGCCCAACTCGTTCAATCTCTGTTTACTTCTGCGTTTCCCCTTCTTTGATTACTTCATTTGGCAAACGCACACCCACACTCTCGAAAGCAAAACATCCACTTTAGAACCATTTAAAGCGTAAAGTTCAGGCTGTGCTCGTCTATTCCTGTCGGAGCTTTCCTTACGGCTCGGCAATTTAATGCCTGATTACCTGCGTAGCGCATTCGTGCGGCAATATTTCAATTCATCAACATGTCAGTCTAAACTTTCATTTATATATTAAAAATAAGCTTCGTTGGGGCTTACACCACCTTATGGCAGGTCCTGGGTCATTGTCATCCGATTGCACGGAAATGATTGATGTTCCTGTTCTGTTGTCACTGGGCCATTATATATAAACGCCCTGCAAATTTCTAATATGGATGGCATAGCAACTCAAATTGCGTCAAAATGACAATGCCAATGATATGATGGGTGTTGTTGTGAAGTCTAAAAGCAGGCCCCCAGCTCACA